CCCTTTCCCCACATCTTCTCCAACATTTGGTATCATTTGTTCTCTTGATCTAAGCCGGTCTGACAAGGGTAAGATGAAATCTTAATTCATTCAGGAGAGTGTTGTTTAATCTCCATGTGTTCATGTGGTGACTAGGGCCTCTTCCAGTGTTGATTTTAAGCTTATTTCTTCTTTGAGAACTCTCTGTTCAGCTCCTTATCCCCTCTTTAAATTGGGTTGCTTCTTCTCTTGGTTCTCTGTTTTTTGAGTTCGTTATATATTCTGGATATTAAATCTCTGTCGGTTGTATTGCTAGTGAAGATTTTCTCCCATTCTGTGGGTTTTCTGTTAGCTTCCTTGGTTGCTTCTTTTGATGAACAGAAGCTTTTTAGTTTAATGAGGTCCCATTTGTTGATTCTTGACTTTGTTTCCTGAGCAGTTGATGTCCAGTTTAGAAAATCCTTTCCTACATCTCTATCTTGTAGGTTTTTGTCAATGTTTTCTTCTAACAGTTTCAGAGTTTCAGGCTGTACACTGAGGTCTTCGATCCATTTGGAACTGACTTTTGTGCAAGGTGAAATATAAGGGTTTAATTTCATTCTTCTACAGGTGGAGATCCAATTTTGCCAGCACCACTAGCTGAACATGCTGTCTTTTGTCCAGTGAATATTCTTGGCCCCTTTGTCAAATATCAGGTGGCTGAAATTGCATGTACTCATATTTGGGTCTTCAATTTTGTTCCATTGATCTATGGGTCTATTTTTGTGCCAGTACCATGTTGTTTTGATGACTATAGCTCTGTAATACAGCTTAAAATCTGGTATAGTAATCCCCCCTGTATTGCTCTTAGTGCTCAGAGTTGCTTTGGACTCACTATGTAGACCAGGCTGGCCTTGAACTCACAGTGATCTGCCTGCCTCTTCCTCCCGAGTGCTGGGACTAAAGGCATGCACCACCAGGCCTGGCACTGAGAGCATATATATTTTCAAGTGTGAAAATATACATAGTAATTCATGTGAAATACATATAAAAGATAATATTCTTTGGGTACCTCAGCTTTTCTTTGCACCTGCATTTTGGTAATTAAGTCCTTAAGAGATGAGATGGTACTAAGATAAGCTCTTCTCTCTTCAAGCCAAGATTCTGTAATGTGCTGAACAGAATGGTCATCTCCATCACCATAGGGAGACTCTGAGAGAGAGAGCACCTGCATGCCCTCATTATGGACAGCTCTCAGCAATCCCTGGAAAATAAAGCCAAAAGGCAAAATTATGACTTCAAAGACTGAAAACTATGATATACAAAATTAAAAACATTTTAAGCAAGTAGCTCCATCCATCTAGGCTGATTCAGAAAGGCCACTGTAGGCAGAAAACTGGATCCCAAATTCCCGGATGCCTGATTCCCCTAAGCCAATCCTAACAAACTATGACCCTTCATCACTCTCACTTGTAAGTTCCTTCCTGCTACGTGGCTAGTGTACTCTCTGGATTTAGTAATCAGTCACCAACTTGACCAAAAGAAATTTGGGAAGCAACATCTACATCTTAAGTATGCTTTCATAATTTTGGCAAACAAAAACATTGGGGATAAAACTATTAAAAAAATCTTCCTACATATAATATTTAATAGCTACAAAACTTAGATATAAAAATCAATTTTCTAGCTCTGCAATTCTTTCTTTAGAGAGGATTCTATTTCAAATTAACTACAATGTTCAACACCAGAATGATACTGGCTAAGTTGACTAAGGAATTGTTAACTTTTATTACCTTTATTTTCTTTGGAAATGAATCTGTTGAACTTTCACCTTCTTCATGACCTTCTGATGCTGTATCAAATCCTTGAGTTTGTGTAAGATATATTCCCTGGCCCCAGTCTGACCCAGAATCTAAAATAAAGAAAACAACCATTGGTAATTAACACATGTGCGCATCATGTGAATGTGTGTGCACACAAGTTCACACGCACACACACACACAAACAAAACACTTTAAAAAAGTACTATAAACATCCTGGAAATTCATGAAACTTACCACTGGAACCCATTTCTCTAGTTTGGTAAGCATTAGAATATGTTAATTCAGGAACGGAGGATGCCTAATTAGAGAAAACAACAAAAATACGATTATTTTTTGATTTAGTAAAAAGAGGATCCAATGAATTGTTCAGCTATTTTCTGTTATAGTTAAGGCGAAAAAAGGGACATTTATTTAATCTTTCATGCTTGTCAATATATAAATAACAAGTCTATAATTTTCTTCCTCGTGGACATTGCCACAATCAAGAAGGAACCATCGTGCATTAAGGAATCACATAGGCTTCAGATACACACAGGAACTTCATTGCCTAACTACACAATGAGAAGAGCTCAATTTGTAATAGTATTATGAAAAGTATATTTCTCATATTTCTTTTTGAAAACTCCTCCTTAAAGCAGAGAAAGTTGAAAGAACAATTATAGGATGCTGAAAAACATATTCTTGAAAACCAAATACCTCTTTAGATTTCAGACACTGTATCACAGCCTTCAAGGTACCACATTCCTCAGTCAATAACTGAATTGCAACATAATGTTCTCCCTTCAAAGTTTCAGTTTCTGAAATATGTCTGGATTCCATATCCAAAATTTCAGCAGCATGAAGTTCTTGCATTTGTTCCATTTTTTCAGTAAACTGACTGATGATGTCAGTGACCTCTTCTGGGGAACATGTGTGCTGCAAATCAATTTGAACTCCTGCATTTCTAAGGAGGATCTGTGGGGTCTGATTGCTGCAGCTGACCTTGACGGCGTCCTCTGTCTGGGATGCAGAGCTTTTACCCACTGTAATAGGAAGTGGCACTAACTGGGGAACCTTTCTGTCCTCTTGTTCTCCAGTTCTATCTTCTGTTTCTAAGAAGTGAGATAATTTTTCTTTGGTTTCTGTGAGTTGATCCTTAATTTCGCTTAACTCTTTCTGAAGAGATGTTATAGTTCTTTCTTTTACCTAAAACATAATGAACAGAACAGTAAAGAAATTAGTTAAGATTTCTGTCTATCAAGTGTAGAACTTAGGGTGGGAATGGGGAGAGTACAATTCACCCTTATATTTGCATCAGAACAGGAAAAGCACTTCAGTAATGCTCAGTTTGTATACATTTTTGTATGTATGTTTGATCAGAGCCCTACAGAAATGAAATAATTTTATCAGTCTCTAATCTGGTTCTCTTGAACATCTCCCTTTCTCCTCTATCACTAATACACAACAGATTAAAAGTATTCTCCTAATCAAGATTCCCAGTAAAACCAAGCAAGGAGATGCTGGTAAAAACAAACAAACAAACAAACAAACAAACAAACAAACAAACAAATGAACAACGAACTTCTGGACTAGCTACAGCCATGTAGTGAGTTTGGGATTTCTCCTTTTCTTCTCCATATCTCTTTTCTAAATATGCTTTCTTTAAGGCTTTGAGCTGCCCCTAGTATCTTGAATTTCTTTACTTTCTCTAAAGTGTCCTTCTCCCAGCCATGTGTCTGACCCTCACACCTTGTCCCCTCCCTCCATTCTCCTCCTCAAGGCAACTACCAAGTACTAGCTTGCCTGCTCTGAGGATTTTTCTTTAAAATTCTAATAAAATTGTAAAAGCTTAACAAACAAACAAAACCCCGCCACAACAATGGAATTTTTCTTTAAATCTAAAAAAGTCTTTTCCCCACTAGGGTTTAAGGTACAGATCTATATTTATTTGAACAAAAGAGAATACACACCAGCTGGAGAGATGGCTCAGTGGTTAAAAGCACTCACTGCTCTTGTAGAGGACCCAGGTTTGAATCCCAGCACCCACATGGTGGCTAATAGCCACCTATAACTCCAGTTCCAGGGGGTCCGACACTCTCTTTTAATCTCCATGGGCATTGAGTGATATGGGTACAATTAAACATACACGCAAGCAATACACTCATACACATAAAAATAATAAAAGATTTTTTAAAAAGGTTGGGGGGATACACTCTGAAAGTAAAGTAAAACAGGTAGAAATGAATGGATTAGGAGCTGTACCGCTCATCTTACCAAAAGCTCTTCCTGAAGGTTGTCTGCCTTTTCTTTATAACCGGCAAGTTCTTTGATGGTCACTGACTCAGCTCTAAGATGATCAATTCCAGCCAAAAATCCACTATCTCCACTGGTATGAATCAGCTCAGCAGTTGTCTGAATAAAACACACTATTTAATAAAACTTTAGCCATGTCCAAAGCACTTATACACTGCAGTGATGTTTCTCTGAGAATGGCTGCCTACACATCAAAGAGAACAGAATGGCCATGCTCCTTAAAAACAATAAGTAATGCTTTTAGAGCCTACATTTTCTATTAAGACAATTAAGAGTGATCTGAGGATGAGGGCAAATCATGCCACTGGAATATATCTTAAAATGTTTTATTGCCACTCAAATGTTTCATATTTATATAATGTTCCTAAAAATATCGGATGTGACTAAAATATTTTTTAGATGTTGATACATGGAAAGTAATATTACTACTTTTAATACTTAATACCCATAGTAATGTTTAGTTCCAAGTGCTAGTGGGAAAAATCATAGTAAGTGAAATGCTTATTCTTTACAATAGAAATTGGATGCATTACTGCTACTTTAGATTGTAAACTTATGAAGTGAGACACTGAATAAAAGGCTCAGTGGTTAAGAGCACTGACTGCTCTTGCAGAGGACCTGGGTTCAATTCCTAGCACCCACATGGTGGCTACGAACCATCCTTAACTCCAGTTCCAGGGGAATCCGAAGCCCTCTTCTGATCTCCGCTGCATTGCACCACATGGATGCACTCACATACATACCAACATACACATAAAAATAAAAATAATAAATAAAATATCTTTAAAAAGAAGACTCTATTTGATCTGTCATACACTAAGAAGAAAGGATGATTTCAGGTCTTTACATGAGTAGATATGTAGATGTCAAACACAAAAAACTTTTCCTAGGAACAATGAACGCTATCATCAGCATGTAATCAGCAAAAGCTAATGACGCCCCACACTGATTCAGAAGAATACTAATATGCTTTGAATTTTTTCATTTCTTAAAAGGGATAATGACAAAGCATATATATTAGAAGGAAATTAAGGGCGAAATCCCACACAAGTCCTGGAGGACAAGGGTTAAATTTAATGTTTTTAAGATTTCTTCTGACTGCTCTCATTAATGATCAGCTAATAGAATGAATATCAAATCTGAAGATCATAAAATGTAGTGTGCATCCATTACTGTAGTGACAATGACTGTACAGTGTCAAATTTGACCTGGGCCTCTATCTTTTGTTCTAGTGTAAGGGAACTAACTGTATCTAACACAATATGTAAATAAACTAAAAACGTAACATAAAAAAGTCAATAAACAGCTAAATCTCAGACAATCACAAGCAGCTATGCTTCAGCCAATTACAAATTACCAACTGATCAGATAATGAAAGCACAGCTGTAATCATTTTAGTTATTTCTGTACTTTATTTGGGAGTTTTGTCTATACATACTACTCTACCGCTGGGAGTGGTAGCACATGCCTTTAATTCCAGCACCCAGGAGGCAGAGGCAGACCTCTGTGAGATTGAGGCCAGCCTAGTCTACATAGTGAGTTCCAAGCCAACTGGGGTTCCAGGGAGACCCTGTCTCAAAAACAAACAAACAAACAAACAAACAAACGAATGTATATTTTTAAAAATCCCATTACATATAAGTTGTTTGCTATAAACAGAACACCAGAGTATTAGTGAATCAGCAATCAACCTAACAAAGGAAAAGAGTTTCCTAGAGTATTTAAGTGAAAAATGACACAAAACCAACCTTGAGCCCCTCAAAATCTCCTTGTGGGCTTCCTTTCCTGACCCTCCCTTCAGGCTGCTTCTTCGGGCCCTCCAGCAGCCTCTGCAGCTCTAACAGTTTCTTTTCTTTTTCCAAAGCATTTTTCTCTGCAATTTCTACTTGTTCTTTTTCTGACATTAAACTAGCATGCATGTCAGCCACTTGGCTTTCTAATTCTGATATTCTCACAGTTAAGGTGGAGACATCTGATTCCACATTGCTTCCTATTTGATTTAAATTCTGCATGTTTATCTTTTCCGGCTCTGTTGGAGCTGTTCGCTTTTCTTGACAGAGCTTCATGTATTCCTGAACTGCCTCAAGCTGGACTTGACTCACAAGTGCAGCAGCAACTTTTTCCTCGAGTATCTTCTGTAGGTTGTTGATCTTCTTGTGAAGCCTTTCTGTTTCAGACTGGCCTTGCTCCTGCATGTCTTTTATTTGTTTATAACACTGGGTAAGTTCCAAGTCCTTTGTATTAACAGAACTCTCCAGCTGCAGTAACTTTGCTTCTAAACTTCTAGAAACTCTGGTAGTTTCTTCAAGCGATTTGAGGGAAGTCAGATTTTCTAGGGGCTTAAGTGCATCCTCAGTAGGGATTTCTTGTAGTTTAAGTTTGTCTCTGCTGGGCTCATTGACGGCCACACAGGCACTTTTCTCAGGAACACTTTGGAGTTCTTCCCTACTTTCATGTTCTTTCTTCAAGCTGCATAATTCTTGTGTTAGCTGATTCATTTTAAAATTGGTTTCTTTGAGCATATTTTTTGTGAAGGCCATTTCCTCATTGGTTGTTTCTACTTGCTGTTCCAAAGCCAGCTTTTCAGCTACCACCTTATCCAGCTGATGTTTTAAACTGTCTGCTGCTTCTGGGAGGGTTCTGGCCTCCACTGATGTCTTCTGTTCGATATTTGCCAATTCTTGTTGAAGCTTCTCAATCACTTCATTGAGCTGCTCTGTTTCTTCTTCTCTGCTTCTCCTCACACGTTCCTGATCACTCATCAGACATTCTATTTGGGTTTCTAGATCCCTTATCAGTTCATTCTTTTCTTCAATGACCTATTAATAAAAAAGGGAAACATACAAAGTAAATATGTATTTATAACTTGGAAATTTTACTTTAAGAAAGGACCTTAGAGACAAGCATGCCCCACATCAATATACTTTTCATAGTCTGTGACTTTCCACATAGATCAACAAGAAACCTCCTCTGTCATCTTAAGGACCTTCTTTAGAACTTCATTCTGGAAGTTTGCTAAGTGTAAAGTGGTTTATATTTCTTGTAGTTGATTTTCTATTAGGAAAATAGTGAATATCAGTAATTCTCTTAAAAAGGGTTTGAAGTACTAAAATAATGTCTACAACAGATTGCTCTCAAAGGTAAAAACCCATTCAACTTACTAAATAAAAGAAATTTAAATATATTTAGTTAGAAATAAATATTTTTATTTAAATATATTTAGTTACTCACTGAACCATCTCACTGGTCTTAAGATTTCTTTTAAAAATTCAATGGGAAAGGGCAAGGGAGATGGCTCGGTGGGTAAAAGTGCTTGTTTTGCAAGCATTAGAACCTGTTTGAATCCCTAGCACCCACATAAAAAGCTGGGCATGGCTACATGAGCTTACAATCCTGGCACTGGGAGGGGTGGTAGTGATGGTGGTAGACACAGATGGGTTCTAAGAGCTCACTGCCTCGCTGAAACGGTGAGCTTCTGATTCAGTGAGAGATCCTGTCTTAAAGCAGGTGAAGAGTGACAGAAAATGGTAGCCGATGTCTTGCCGTGGCCTTTGTGTGTGCACACCATCTGCACACCACTCATGTGCATGTACCACATATACTCCAGCCCAACATAGAGAAAGACATCAGGAAAGTGAAAATTATCACCATTTTGCTGCTTAAAACTTAAGTTAGGGTCACTGAGATGGCTTAGTGGGTAAAGGCGCTTGCTGACAAGACTGAAAACCTGAATTTGATCCCTGAGACCCACATGGTTGAAGCAGAGAGCTGCTTGACAAGTTGTGCTCCGACCTCAAAATGCATGCCAGGGCCTCTTTCCCCAAATAAATAAATAATTAATTAATTAAAAAAAAACTAGCTCATGTTAATTTCTGATAAATACAAATTTTAAATGAGCATACCTTGTTATCTGTTGTAAGTTTAAGTTGCTGCTGGAGTTTTATAAGTTGCTCATTTAACTGGTTAATTTCTATCTCTTTTTCTTGTATTATCTGAGCAAATTTCCCAAACAGAACATGTTGATCCTGAGTAGAGACAGGATCAGATTCCTTTATGGCAAATCCCAGTTTCTCCATTTCATCCTAGAGACAAATATAACTGTCATAGTTGGATGTATCACTCACTATACGTCATTTTCAGAACATTCTTTTAGTCAAGTCTTATAAGAGATACTGTGCATAAAATAAAGTGCAAATAAAAGAGATATATTTCAATAATTCTTAAAATATTTTGTTAAAAGATTTTAAAATTTGATTTATGATTAATTCAAACATACAGGTTGAGTAGAAAGTAAGTTCCATGCAAATCCTACTAATGTTGCTCTGCTATCAAATACTTATTATTTTTATTTTGTGTACGAGTGTATTGCCTGCATGTATGAGTGTACCCATGTCATGCAATGCTGTGGAGGTCAGAAAGGGGCTTCGGATCCCCTTGGAACTGGAGTTAAGGATGGTTCGTAGCCACCATGTGGGTGCTGGGAATCGAACTCGGGTCTTCTGCAAGAGCAGTCAGTGCTCTTAACCGCTGAGCCATCTCTCCAGCCCCGCAAATACTTATTAATGCTACAAAAGATCAAAATTTAAAATTATTTATAGGCAACAGTTTTTCTAAGCTAATTACCTTAAATAATTGGTTTTCTTGTTCAAGTTCTTGCAGGCGGGTAGTGGATTCCTTTTTCTGTATTTCTAGTTGCATATGTAGTTGCTGAACTTCTTCGTTTTTATTTTCCAGTTCTTCTCTAAACTGTTCTAATTGTTCTTCTAAGTTTGTGATCTTTAAAACCAAAATTATTAAGAGAAAAAAAAACCACAACCTGTTTATACAAATATTTCTTGTTAAATACAAAAGGGCTGTGTTTTATAAAGCATGCATGTTTAAGACATGTAAATGGGAATAAAAGAAAATGGTATTCTAAGCCATGTAGATATGAATGTAGATATAGTCAAATTGCACTTTTTTAATACACAGATATACATTTGGCAGGGGGCGGGGGGGTGTTGAGATAGGTCTTCCTATAGCCCCAGGTGGCCTAGAACTCACTATGCAGACCAGGCTGGACTCAATCTCACAGAGATCCACCTGCCTCTGCCTCCTAAGTACTGGGATTAAAGGTGTGCATCACCAAGCCCAGCTCTATGCATATAATTTTAAACACAGATTTCACAGGTGAGAGAAAATATAGAATTTTTCTTTTTGATGCTGGTTTATTTCACTTAATATAATACTTTCCAGTTGCATACATTTTCCTGTGAATTTCATTTTTCTTTATGGCTGCATAAAATTCTACTGTGTATGTGTACTACAAACTCTTTACCTACTTTTCTGTTGATGGACATGTAGGTTGGCTGTGTCCTGGCTACTGTGCACAGTGCAGCTATGAACACTGATGTACAAGTATCTCTGGGGCAAGGTAACTTAAGAGTCCTTCATGTGTATACCTGAGAGTGGTAGACCCTGGTTGTATGCAAGTTCTATTTTCAGCTTTTGAGGAACCTCCAGACCTATACAAGTTTACATCCCCTGAGCAGTGAATAAAGGTTCCCTTTTCTCCACATCCTCACCATCATTTGCTGTCATTTCTTTTCTTTTTCTTTTCTTTTTGTTTTTTTATTTTATTTTATTTTTTTGTCTTTTTTGAGACAGGGTCTCCCTGTAGCCCCAGCTGTCCTGGAACTCACTATGTAGACCAGGCTGGCCTTGAACTCAGAAATCCGACTGCCTCTGCCTCCCGAGTGCTGGGATTAAAAGTGTGCACCATGATGCCCAGCTTTGTTTTTTGAGACAGGGGTTCTCTGTAGCCCCAGATGGCCAGGACTCGCCTGACTCTGCTTCCTGGTTGCTAGGATTAAAGATATGCCACCTCACCTGGCACCTGTCATTTGTTTTCTTAATGATGGCCATTGTGACTAGGGTGAGATAGAATTTCAAAGTGGTTTTAACATGCATTCCCTGATACCTAAGTATATTGAGCATTTTTTTTAAGTATTTGTTGGCCATTTGAGTTTATTTCCTTCCTTCCTTCTTTCCTTTCTTCCTTCCTTTCTTCCTCCCTCCCTCTCTCCCTCCCTCTTCTTTTCTTTCTTTTTTTTTTTTTTAAAGTAACTCTATGCAGTTCATTATCCCATGTATTGTCAGGACGGGTTTTTAGGGGGTAACTAATTTTTGCAATTATATCTTCTCAATATTGATTCCCTGTTTGATACGCAGTTGGTAAATTTTTCCCTACTCTGTAGCTGTCTCATTCTGCTGGCTGTTTCCTTTGCTGCACAGTGTCACCTTTGTTCCATGGAATTCCATTTGTCAATTTGTGGGATTATTTCCCCTACCACTGGAGCCCTGTCTAGAAAATCCTTGTTATGCCTATATACCTGCAGCAGGCAAACTGCATATTCTTCCCTGCTCAAAGCAGAGACCTTAAGGATGGACACAGGAGCTATGTCCTAAAGTAAGATATTTTCTAGTGAAGGAGAAGAGTCATAGGAGGAAGAGCCCATCTACTAAACCTTAATTTAGTTAAATTTAGATGCTATCAAAAGGCTCAAAAGAGTTACAGAATTCTATCAGTTATCTTAGCACAAAGTAACACTAGTTCAGTTTGACCTACAAATACCCAGTTAACCCCTGAAAATCTGGCTGCCTTAGGGTTTGCTTATAGATTAAGAGATATATAGGTGTGAATCACAGAAACAGAAAAGGTTAACAATACAATCACAGAAGAAAATTATGGAGTTTCTATAGGCAGGACAACAGAAATAGAAATAATTTCTATAGGATTATCAGTAATAATGACACAGCAACATTTTTTGATAGTTATACAGATGAGCCAAATGACAAATGTGAAGAGCTAATTATGTTATAAAGTCCTGATATTCATACAGTCTTGTTGGGAATGTAAATTAATGAAGACACTATGGAAATCAGTAAGGAGGTTTCTCAAAATACACAAACAGAACAGCTGTATGATTCTTATATACTATTCCTGAGTGTAAATAAGAGATACTTGCACACCTGTGTTTACTATGACACTATTCACAAAAGATAAGTTAAAGAATGAGTCTAGGGGCTGGGGAGATGGCTCAGTGGTCAAGAGCACTGGCTGCTCTTGCATAAGAATGGGGTTCAGTTCCTAGTACCCACATGGTGATTCATAACCATTCATAACTCCAGTTCCAGGGGATCTGACACCCTCTTCTGATATCCACAGGCATTGAATGACACGGGTGCACTCACATACATTCAGGCAATAAACTCATACACACAAAAATAAGATATTTTTTAAAAAGAATGAACCTAAGTGTCAACAGATGAACAAGAAAATTTGTCATATATACATAATAGAATTTTATTCAGTCATAAATAAGAGTGAAATTATGTCATTTGCAAGAAAATGGCAGGGATTGGATACTATCATAAAAGAAAAAGCCAGACACAGAAAGACAGCATCATGCTTTCTCTCATATATGGAACTCAGATTTTTAATTTATATATATGCACATACATATGACATGAAAATGAATGAGAGACTATTTGGGAAGCTAAGGGGATCTGTGGGGGTGGGTGAGAGCAGGCAATGGGAAGGGGATATGATCAAATCAAGTTACATCTGTGAAAATGTCATGATGAAACTCATTTTGTACAACAAATATATGCTAATAAAGTCTACTCCAAAACAGCAACAAGAAAACAAAAAATACAAATAAGCAAAAAAATACACCCTAGGTTTAAAGATAGTAAGTCATTAAGTAGCTTTGTAGCTACTTAATAAATTAATGAATTTCCAAATGTCTATTTAAATAATCAAAACTTCTTCATTAAAAGTAACCTAAGAGGTAGAAGCAGCATTGAGTGACCATTGGCTCATTTAGGGTCTTACAATATATATAGGGGTATAAGGCTGCTTATATGTGACACATCACATAATTAGAATTCCAGAACTGACAAGGCAAGGCTTTAAAGTCAGCCTAATAATTCTAATCAAAAATAGCATGCTAGTAATAATACTATACTAGTAATAATAGCTAAAATTGAGGCTGGGGCGATGGCTCAGGTAGTAAAGTGCTAGCCATGCAAGCATAAGGGCTTGAGTTTGATCCCCAGGACCCAAATAAAAAGCCGGGTATGGTAGGTAGCATGTGCTTGTAATCATAGCACTGGGGAGACAGAGAGGGGATGATCCCCAGGCTTACTGGCCAGCCAGCCCAATCTAATTGGTAAGTTCCAGGTCTCAGGGAAAGATCCCGTCTCAAAAAGAAAGACAGACAGCTCATGAGGAATGACACCTGAGGTTTACCTCTGGCTTCCACAACATGCATCCCTTCTCCCAAGTATATACACACTCACACGCCACTTCATGAGATCTGTTCTATGATTATTCTCATTTTAGAGATGAGGAAGGAGTCACAAAGAGGAGTGACCTATCCAGAGGGTAGCCAGCTACTATGCAGCAGTGAAGCCACCTTTGAATTTGAAGAGGTAACCTCTGGAGCCTTCCACTCTAAACTACCATTTATCCTGCTTCTAATAATTAATGTTGGAGACATACATTTAAATTTTTCCATAGCACTGGTATTAAATTCTGTAGGTATTTAAATACATTTAGTGGTTGTGTATATATAATTATCAGCTTATTGTTGAAAACTGTGATCATCTTTATCAGTTATATAATAGTATTTATACCCATTCTTATCTTCTACAACTATTCCTATCTCCTACAGCTACAGGGTGTTATAAAATAGGCATACACATAGTTATTTATGTTCACAATTGCTGTCTACCTTACATGATATTTGCATTTTTGAGGTATCATTTTATATGCAAATTTTGAGCTCTGTGATCGAAAGCCTTGCTACTTGGTGTGGTCTGGAGCAGCAGAATTAGCACCTGTGAAAAGCCTATGAGCCATGTAGAAGGTGATGCTGTATCCAAGGCCTGTGTTTCAACAAGTCCCTAAGTGGTTCATAGGGCATTAGAGCTTGTGAAGCACTGGTCTACAGCACTAACAACTGTATTTGAAGCAGCTAAACTCTAGACACCACACCAGAGCCACTTATCCCACAAATGACTCCATGGAAAAAGCATTCCTTCTATTTCTTCAACAAGGATCCATTTTCAGTCTCAGGTTGTCTTAACATTGAACTGATAACAACCACCAAGTCAAAATAACATTATAAAGGTCCAAATTTGTTTTAACGTTGCTTATTTTTCTTTTAATTGATATTTAAACTATTTGGACTGAATTAATTTATACTCATTTGTGTTTTTCTTACTGTATTATCTCTTTCAAATGAATACATGCTTACTAGATTTTGTGCAGTTTCATTCTGATTTTACAACTGGACACAGGTGCTCTGTATCTAAGAGTTCACTAAATAATGAATTATATAGTCTTTATATTTCTCATCAACATGCAAAATATCGATACCGCCTCACAAAGGTTCCAAAATCAGTGACACTTGGGAGAAATTCTTGCTCTTGCTAAGCATTAACCTCCCTTCCAATTCAGTTTGTACTCATCAAGATGAAGATCACAGAGCCTGTCCCCAGGGAGTGTTAAGGACAAATGACATAAGGCATTTAAAATACTCCTCAGCAATTCCTAGTGCTTGGCCTACAATGAAGTTAACTATTATTTGTTACTGTTGCCTATAAGCTCATTAGCTCTATAGACAGCCAAAATTTATTAAAGCATCTTTTTCTAAAAGAAACCTTCTATAACTAACTATATTTCCGTATTTTTTTCTTTTACAATCTTGAAACTCTTCGTTTTATTTTATTTTTTACTGCTTACTCATCTTCCATTTCAAAATAGTCTAATAAACTTTAAAATACGTTTTTGTCCAAACTTAGGCTCTGAGAGAGTAAAGGTATCTCAAACATGATACGTATGAGTATCTTACATTTACATTCTATCAGATACTTGAAAATATTTGCCTAGTAATCAAGTAGGAAGTTGAATTTATTCTTGTACTAATCGTGAATTTTCTTTTTTAAAACAGGACCTTGCTATGTTGTTCTGACTGACTTTAACTCCTGGCCTCAACTGACCTGCCTACCTCAGCCTCTTCAGCAATGGGATGTACCAGTACAACTAGCTGAATTTCATTTTTTTGAAGCAAGGGACCACAGAAAAATAGGAAATTTTATATACATTATTTTTACTTGTGATGTTGGGGCGTCACATGTAGGTGCTAGTACACGCTAAGCAAGTTCTCTAACAATGAGTTACATTCTTAGTTTCAGTTAATTTTATCTTATTACACTGAGAACATGCTTCACTTATAAAATAGTGCTACAATATCTCAGGAAAACAGTATAAATAAGAGCAACAATGAAAGCTGACAAAGATACACAGCAGAGCATCACTGACTCTGTGCCCAGAGCATGGGCAGCAGAAGGGAGAGGCAGCACCTTTCCTTGGCCTCACGATGCTACCAGGTCTCCCTCTCCACTCTCCTCCTCATTCAGCTAAGACGTTGGTGTTCTTTCATCTAAGTGTCTTCTTGCTTTCATCAGCTTATCTATCTGTTCAGTTTATTATCTTCAAGGTCAATTTAGGCAGTGAATGAATGGAAAAATCAGTCTAGACTACTGTCAGACTTTTGTTCATATTACATTTTGAAGGTAACTGATTTAAAAGAATTCAAACCACATTTTGCCCTTTAAATAAAAACTCCTTACCTCCTTTTCCTTTCTGTCTATAGCATCTCGCTCAGCTTGTAACTGAACTTCTAGAGACAACTCTGCTTTAGCTTCTATTGCTCCAAACTGCTTCCGGTCCTCTACCTATAAACATACAAGAACATTCTCAAAATTTTAGACATTATGGCCTTATTACCCATTATGGTATATTTATTTGTGTATTTAGCAGCAATATTATTTTCCAGTTAGAAAGAGAAACTCTACATTTGTAAGCAGTCAAAAATGTTTGTCTTAGCCAGGTGTGGTAGCATACGCCTTTGATCCCAGCTCTAGGGAGGCAGAGGCAGGTAGATCTTTGTGAGTTTGAGGCCAGCCTGATCTTCATAGCAAATCCAGGCCAGCTGGGGTTACAGGGTGGCCCTGTCTCAAAAAAAAAAAAGTTACTGTCTTGAATGCATTTCTATATAAATCAAACATGAACTTCAGACATTTAAAATTCATTTCTCATAACAAATGAAAGCCATTTACCATCTGCCCCTTGCAAGCTTCCCCGCTCTGCCCTTCTTTCATTCAGTTTGGTTTTCTGCAGAATAATGGGGACACATTGCACTACTTCTTATTTTGGGGTAAAAGCACCTAAAAGCTGGTATCCACTTTTCATGAGGCCATTACTGACAGTTAAAATGATAACCAACTCTTCTAGCTTAACTATTTTCCTCTATCAGCAGGAAAGTATGCAAATAACCTCTGAAAGTACAGTACACAAAAATAGTCAACAAAGACATTCAGATATACTGTGTAATAAAATCCACATGGACATACATTTTTAACTTAGAAGAACTAATGTTTGTGAACTAAGTGATCTTCATTTAAACCCAATAAGGCTAACTCAGGCTTCTCTCACCTTCTGAAAGGAGTCAGTACTGATGAGTAAGGCTTGCTCCAGCTCTCGTACTCTGAATTCCAACTTCTCAATTTCTTCATTCCTTTCTTGTACATCTCTCTGCAGCTGCTCTTTAGACAGCAAAAGCTCACTACACTTGTCTGTTTTTTCTTTCAGATGGTTTGTTAACTGTTCTACCTAAAATACAATGAGAAAAATATTTTTTTCAAATTTAGGAAGCTGGGCTGGAGAGACGACTCAGTGGTTAAGAATACTGGCTGCTCTTGTAGAGGACTTGGGTTCAATTCCTAGCACCCACATGGTAGCTAACAACTGTTTGTAACTCAAGTTCCAGAGGATCCAATGCCCTCTTCTGACCTCTCTAGGCATTGCATGACAGGGGTGCACTTACATACATGCATGCAATACACTCATATACAAAATAAATAAATATTTTAAAATCTAGGAAGCTCATAACTATAAACCATATTTATATTTTTATTTAACAAAGTTCTTTCTTGGAACTGAAAATGTATCTCAGTTATATTGTACTGCTTGCACAGTATATGCAACTCCCTGGCTTTGATCTCCAGCACCCCCTGAAAAAAGATATCTTAAAATATGTTAATTTCATTTTAAAATAAGGTTAGTGACAATTGTTTCTAACAAAAATGTTTTCCATACTGACGAAACTAGGCAGTAGCAAAAAGAAAAATAATATTGTTTTCATTGAACCCATTTATAAAAAGTTCTTTCTTTTATAGTATGACTTTATGGGGCTAAAGAGATGGCTCAGCAGTTAAGAGTACTGGCTACTCTTTCAGGGGACCTGGGTTCAGTTCCCAGACCCACATGGCAGTTAATACCCATTTATAACTCCAATTCTAAGGGAAGGAAGTCAATGCCTTCTTCTGGCCTCTGTGGGCACTGTACACAATGTGCACTTAACACACATGCAGGCAAAACACTCATATACATAAAATAAAAATAAATTTTAAAAAATTTAAAAGTACGACTTTATTGAGACAGAAAGAGCGGAAAACGCATTTTGAATAATGTCGAATTATCTGATGGCACACCATACTATGACTTAATGACCAAATAAAGATGACAAATTTGCAGCCTGATTACTGACTGACTCTTATGTGAAGGACAGTGACCTTTAAGTCTTTCATGTATTATATTTTGGTGGTTATTTGGTTGGCTACATTCTGCAGGTCAGAACAGAGATGAGGAGAGTCAGTAAAAAGAACTGTGCACCTCTGAGTTTCCTCGAATGCCACTAGTCTTGGCTTCTACTCTACCCCAAATAAATGATGAAGTGACCCAAGACATCCTTTAAGACTGATATGCAGGTCCCTTCTAGCATGTGCTGTGATGGAAGAATGTAGGAAGGACTAACATAGCTCATGAACATGCTCTGAGCAAGTAAGAAAAGTACTAAAAACTTGTGGTCCTAAGAAATAAAGGATTACTATGCTTCGAGTGAAATACTTTGAGGAAACCACCAAAATGAAAAACATTCCTTAGAACACTGAAAACCCACAAACTTAACTATTCAGGATGAGAGTAAGCAAGCTCCCGAGAAAGACTGACAATGACAGGTTGACAAAGAGAATAAAGTCAAGAGAGAAGGCAACAAACAGGAGCAAGAACATGGGACAGCAAAATATGGGGCAGGGGGGAGGTTCATATCTAGAGAACTGAAAAGTGGAATCAGATCTGGCAGGGTTGGGAGAACACACGAATGAGCAGCTTCCTGCAAAAATCAGTTATACACATCCTTGTTAGATGCTTCAAGTTTCACAAATGATACAGGCCAGTGTTTTCAATTTAAGATAATTATGTGGGAAAATCATCATCTAGGGCTCAGAAGTTAAATCAACTTTTGAGTTTTGACGTTTTTTGAAAGCTGAAAATACATTTGTTTGGCATAATGGCAATGACTACTGGCAATGACTACACACTCTGTGGGGATGGGGGATAGGGGACGGGGAATGGGGAATAGGGGATGGGAGTTGAGAGATGTGAACCTCTTCTACTATAGATGTAACATTTTAAATAGTGAGTTTAGAGCACTTTATATTTCTTTGGAATTCTTTTAAGAGAAATAAAATCTAGCAAACTGCATAGAAATTATAATTTTTTTTTTTTTTTGGTCTTTTTGAGACAGGGTCTCCCTGTAGCCCCAGCTGTCCTGGAACTCACGATGTAGACCAGGCTGGCCTTGAACTCACAGAGATCTGCCTGCCTCTGCCTCCCAAGTGCTGGGATTAAAGGCGTGTGGCACCATGCCCGACATAAATTATAATTTTTATTTTTAAATATTTTATCATTTTAATTTTATTTTACATGTATGAGTGTATTGCCTGCATGTATGTAAGTGCACCCATGTCATAAAATGCCCGAGTAAGTCAGAAGAGGGTATTGAAGCCTCTGGAACTGGAGTGATGGCTATGTGGGTACTGGGAACTGAGCCTGGGTCCTCTGCAAGAAGAGCCAGTGTTCTTAACTGCTGAGCCATCTCTCCATTATAATTTTATTAAGAAATTAAAATTATTTTCAGAAATACTACTATAATAGTTAAATTTAAATGTTCACTATGGTCATATAAACACTTGGGATGTAAATTATTACTGTCTCTATTTTAAATATTTTAGAAATGAACAGAGATTTAAGAGTTAGCAAGTTGGTCATTATCACATTCCTAGTAAACAGATGAGCAAACACTGGGTTTTTATTAGCATGATAAGCCATCTTTAGGAATTTACAGAGTGAACCTTTCCTCATTCATGCAGGATGCAGTCAGTACATATAGACATCTAGCTACATCTCTAAATGTGGAAAAGGCACACTGGGAATGAAAAAAATAGCAGGAGGCAGGTGAGAAGACTTAGTTGATGAAGTATTTTCCATGCCAAGCCTGGTACCCGAGTTCAATCCTGGAATCCAAGAAAAACTGGAAGGACAGAATTGACTCCACAGTTCTCCTCTGACTTCTATACGCCTCTTTGGTAGGTGTGTCCCAACATATATCACACATACACACACAGAAGTGGATGTGGAGGAGGAGGGGGTAGGAGGGGGAAGAGGGGTAGGAGGATCTGGCTGCAGAAGTAGCAGCAGCAGCAGCAGCAGCAGCAGCAAGACTAATTAGGATGTTAACACAACCATCCAACAAACATGACAGCTAGGATGTATGGCAATGAATGAAGGTAAAAAACAGATGAAGTACAAATGTGACTCATCAATGGGATGATAAGGCTGAGAAAGAGTGAGATCAAACAATACTAGGTCTTAGCAAATGAGAAAGGTGTAAAGTACAAAATTTGTTGAGATGCAGAGTATGTTTTACTCTTTATTTTCTGGTAAATTAACCAAGAATCAAGAGCTCTGTTATGGACATGCTAATCTTGAGACATTTAAGTGGACAGAGATTTGGCAGTTGAATATTTAAGAATGGAGTTCAACAAAGATGTCAGAGATGAAGGTATAGACACAGTCACCGATATATGACTGTTGGAAAGAAAATAAAAACATGGGAAAAAAAGGGGGCCCAAGATTATGCTGTAGAGCTCCACCACTTAATCTACGATGCAGAGGAGGAACAAAGGGAAAAGGAGAAAGGCCAGCTGGAGTAAGTGTACTGTAGAAGCTGGAAGGAAGGTGTTTCCAGAAGACTTTACTGAATGCTCTGAATATTGAATAGGGAAAGCCAAGTGGCAACAAGTGCCTTTTCCCACTGAGCCATATAAATCACTTTATTGGGAATAATAATAGAGAAATGAGCAGGAAAGTTCACTTAATTGGGTAGTCAACAGAGGGAAATGATTTCAAAATTTGAATTTTTTTTGCTGGGGGTTGAACTCAGGGCCTCAAACATGCTAGGTAATCACTCTTATCACTGAGATATATCCTTAGCTCCAAACAAATCTTAATATTTATCAGGCACTGCACATTTAAATACCATTTAATTTTCTAATTTTTACAATTACATAAAATATAAAGAATCCTCTTTTGAGTTTTCAGAGTATCTTATCTCACATTCAAGATACAAATCAGTAAAGGGAGGCAGTACCAGTACACTCTTACCTCTCTGGTTTGATGCTCACTGACAGGCTGGAATCGAGGAACAGCTTTAAGTTGCTGCTCCAGCTTCTGTATTTCCTGTTGAAATACATCTCTCTCATGTTCTCTATCGATGGCTTGTTCCTGAAAGTCAGTGATAATAATACTAAATCACTTAATAAACATATTTGTTGCCTCCGCCCCCTTTTCCCTTCTCTCTGACAGGGTCTCACTGTGTAACCCTAGCTAGCCTGGAACTCGCTATGCAGACCAGGCTGGCCTCAAACTCAGATATCCATCTGCCTCTCCCAGTGCTGGGATTAAAGGTGGATGCTACTATACCTAGCTTATTGGCCTTATTGTTCCTTTTATGTCCCCTAAGTTAGAGGTTATTTTGGTTTGAAGATAAAAGACAAATAACAATGAATAAGTCAAACCACAAAAGCGTAAATAGAAAACACTTATTTTTGGTATGGTACATAGCCTATTTGGGCTCTTTCAACAAAAAATTTAAGTATTTAAAAATATTTGCAGTACAATCTGTCTTATTCAAATAATATTAAATGAAGAATGAAAACAATAATTCTCCATGAAATGAACTCATCCTTTTGAAGAAAGGAATTCTATTGCTAATTTAGTGATTAAACAAAATAGGTAAGCAAATTTGGTTTTTTTGAGACAGGGTTTCCCTCTAGCCCCAACTGGCCTAAAAAAGAAATTCCACATGAAAACACAAAACTGATGATTTGGCGGGAGTGATGGCAGCTTGACAGGTGCTTCAATCTTGATGCCAAGTGTCACAGTGAGCTCTGCTTATCTTTTGATCAGGAGGCAGTCATGGAAAATTAACTCTTGGAATTCTCATTTGCTTTAGCTACCAGGTAAAGGAAAATCTAGAAAACACTTAACTCTGATAACTAATAAAGTTGACATTTTCCACTAAAAAATACACAAACAAACAAACAAATTGCTTGATGCTAGGGGATTGAACTCAGGGACTCCTGAATGCTAAGCAAGTACAGGCTCTTATCACTGAACTACTCCCTCAGTCCTACTCACCCTATCTACTCATCCATTCATCTACCCATCTACCCACCCACCCACCTGCCCATTCTCCTGCCCATCCATCCATCCATCCATCCATCCATCCATCCATCCATCCATCCATCTATCCACCCAAGACATGGTTTCAAAATGTAGCTCAGTCTGGCCTGGAACTTGCTACTATGTAGCCTATACTGAAAATACTTACATCTATAGCCAGGTGTGATGGTGCATGCCTTTAATCCCAGCACTCAGGAGGCAGAGGCAGGCAGATCTCTGTGAATTCCAGGCTAACCTGGTCTACATAGTGAGTTCCAGGCCAGCTGGGGCTACAGGGACACTCTGTATCAAAAAGGCAAAAAGAAAATACTTACATCTAAAAATTTTCTCATTTTTTCCAACTGCTTTTCCAGGGCTTGGTTTTGCTGTCTTAAATCTATCAGTTCAGCATTTTTTTCTTGCTCCAGCTCTATAAACCTACTGACTTGTTCTTCAACATCTATTTCTAGAGATTTCACTTGTTTTTGAAGCTCATCACGTACTTTTTCAGCTTGACATTGCACTTCTAGTTTTTCCTTCATTAGTTTTTCTGTCTCCTGTAGAAATTCTATTTATAAATGTGAACATATACTTGGTTAAATTATGATTAATGATGCTATGATAATGAAATCACTGATAACTATGTTTAAATTTTATCCCCACAAAATAAAGGCTGAGAATTACATTCTTTTATGCAAAATAAGCATTTTACTCCTATATAAGTAAGCAAAGTAGCAGTAATAAAATTATTCAAACTTAACAAAAATGACCATGTCCTATCATATAAAGATACTTTGTGAAAACAACAGTAAAAAAAGAACAAAGTTCACCTGAATTCAAACATAGAAAAAGCTTAGCATGTTTTTTAATCACAGGTAAAACTTAATCCATCCCAAAGCCACAAAGTCACCTTTAAACACATACACAATAAATCTTTAACCAAGAAAAGAGGAACAGAAAAACAAAGGTGACCATAATCAGAATTCCCTGGTAGTCTTACTCTGTTAGGTTCATATTCCTGACAACTTTTTCATGCTCACATGTTTGTATATCAAAGGAACATAAGCACACATGAGGGACAGTGGGGTGAGTGCTTAAGAGGAGAATATGAGTTGACTTCCTAGTTCTGTCACTTTTCTCCTGTGTGACATTTAATACGATGATGTTCAGTTTTCTTACATGAACAGGAACAAGTTGGGGATTAACTGAGTTAAAATATGTAAAGAACAGTGACTGGAGCATAGTAAGCACTGTGTAAGTATTAGCTACTATTAATATAATGATAAAGCATAGATAGCAAAAATAGAATATCTTACTGAAAGAAATGGAAAAGAATGTATCACTGGAATTTTTATACTATCTGATGTGTCAACACTGTACTCAGGTCTACAGAAAACAATGTTCCTTCTAAACCAATACCCATATTAGACATTAATATCAAAGTCAATCAACCAGGAAGCCTCTTGCTAAAATTTGTTGATACTTTTGCTACCATCATCTTATAAA